GACCCACATCAGATCCAGTCGATTTTCAGCAGGACACGCAGTCGGTGCTGCCACGGTCGTTTCCGGCTCGAGGCGCAAGTCGTTTGTCCAGCAGCGGCCGTTGTCGACGATGTTGCACATGTTTTGCTAATGGGCGCCGTGCCTACCGTTCCTACCCATTTTTGGGCGTGCCAATTCGGTCGCCTCCTCGCCGTCCAGGAGAGGGGAGGTCAGAGCAGGAAGGCGCCCTGCCTCCTGGGGGGCCCTCGTCGCCACGACCGGATCCGACGCGGGCACGGCTGTTGACGTGCCTCTACAAGGGGAGGGGAGGAAGGGAGGGAGGGAGGCAGGGATGACGAGAAGGAACGAGTCTGCCGCTCTGGCATGTCCTGGCTACTCCAGCCTGCTCCTCGGGCGCCTCTTCGTGCCTCCGCGTCTTCCGCCCTGCGCCCATGGGCGCCTTCGGGAGATCGACCTCAGGAAAACGTCTGCCCTCCCACAGACACAATGCGACGCCCACGCGCATGACTCCCATCAGTGTAACCCCGGCAAACAGTTCTCATTCCCCCCCCCCCGCTTCGTTGAAATTGTGTCGCATCCCGCCCCTGGAAGCAATATCCCGCCCCTGGGACCCTCAGTTCGGGAGCCCACCAAGATCCTGATTGCATCTTTTCAAGGCCAGAATCGGATTCCAATGAGAGTCCAAGAGGTTTGCAACATGAGCTCAGGCAGATCCCAATCGGATTCCGATAGGGCGTAGGGTCCAAAGCTGACCCCGTAGGATCGGATCCCAATTCTTCACGCTTCGCGGATCCCCACCATCATTTTCTTTCACGACCTTACGACGCTGCGCGGGTGCCCGCTCGCGGTCGCGATCAAAAAGATATCCCCACCATCCCGCTGGCGCCTGGATGCGACAAGGTCCAATTCATCCATCTCGGTGGTCTCGTCCCTGGGGTGCCCGCACGCTTGCAGCCACCTGGCAGCCCCCCGGCAGCTCTTGCAGCCTTTACCCTCGGCGCAGCCCAGCTTTCCCCGACGGTAGGCTTTGCAGTTGCCTGCGCGCGCCAGGCAAATATTTCTGCTCGTAGCCGGAGCCGACCTGTGACGCCGCTGGCGCCTTCGCTTGCGATTGCGACAGAAAGTATCCCCACCAGCCCATTCAGAAAGCCTGCCCTTCAGAGCTGCCGGGAAGAGGGACGAAGAGTAAATCTATGGAAACAAAGCGAGCAACGGGGTGGCTTTGGAAGGTCTCCTCGGGCCATCCCTGGGTGCCGCGTGGGGGCGAAGGGAAGAGGACAAGCTAGGTGCGCTCGCGTCATATCTGACGTCCTACCCCTCCCTCCCATCCCTTACCATGGCGCTGATTTTCTCTATCCGCGGACGCGTGTCGTAGCGGACCTGTGGCTCCGCGCGCGCGTGCGTAGTGGGTGGTGGTGCGCGTGCGTGCGTGCGTGCGTGTGTGCGTGGTTGTCGTGGTGGTGGTGTGGTGGTGGGTGGTGGTGGTGGTGGTGGTGCTGGTGGTGGTGTTGGTGCTGGTGCTGGTGTGGTGGTGGTTGTGGTGGTGGTGGTGGTGGTGGTGGTGGTGGTGGTGGTGGTGGTGGTGGTGGTGCGGCGCGGTGGTGGCGGGCGGATGGGCGCGCGAGAAAGAGGCCCGCGCTGGGGCGAGAACGCCATCCTGAACGACGGAGGCCAAACACCGACCCGAAAATGAGGCCCACGCTGAAGCGGGAGCACGATTCGGAACGATTCGGGAGCAGAAGTGAGGCCAGCGCCTCAGCGAGAGCAGCATGTTGGAAAAACGCAAGCGAAAACCCGTTTCCCGGAAATCCTGTGTAAAAAACAGTACGCGGGGGGGGGTCGGATATCTTCGGGACGCCATCAGGGGAAGTGGAAGAGTATTTTTCATATTGTGCAATTGTAGAGGATGAGGACGAGGATGCCGAGGAGGACGAGGGCGCGGATGAGGAAGAGGACGAGGAGGACGAGGACTAGTATGAGGACGACGCGGACGGGGATTCATGAAACCAGCTAGAGGTGTTATTGCGGGTGTTGCTGTTGCTGGCGCTCTATGGGAATTTGTTGGGCCTTTTTTGGAACCTTGTTGGTAAGCCTGGAAGGCGGTTTGGGACCATCTTGAAGGCCATCGATTACAGGATGGGGGGTCTCCAACCCAACTCACTCCCCCCTCAGGATGGGGGCTCTCTTGGGGCGCTCGTGGATCGGCCTTGGGGCCGGTTGGAGCATATTGGGAGCCATATTGAGCCAGCTTCGGCTATCAGAGCCATCTTGGAGGTCATCTTGGGCTCTCTGAGACCGCTCGGGGGCCTCTTGGGGGCCGCTCGGGTGCCTTTGGGGGCCCTCTTTGGACCCTCTTGGAGCCCTCGTGGGGCTCTTTGGGGTCTTGGGAGCCCTGGAGCGCCTTTTTGGGTCATCGTCGAGGCTATCGATCAAAGGAGGGAGGGCCCCCGATCGGCGCCCCCCCCATCGAGGGCCACGATCCTCGTGAGGGGTGTCGAAATTTGGCCCTCTCAGGGGTCGATCTTGGACGCTCCAACGGATCGCGGCCCTTCACGTCCAGGTCCAAGGGAGGAGGTAGGGGCAGGGGTCAGGACACCCTCCCCGCCCGCAAGTTGTCTCGTTCACTCCCACCCGCCCTCTCAACACATACGTAGCACCCGAGTCTGGCCCGAGCCTCAGCATATTCAGCAACCGTCTTTGGATGGACAGCTTCTGGGGGCTAATCCGCCGCCGCCGCCGCCGCCGCCCCCGCTGCCAAATCGTCGCCACCGCAGCCGGTGCCGCCACCGCCGCCGCCGCCACCGCCGCCGCCGCAGCCGCAGCCGCAGCCGCCGCCGCCGCAGCCGCCGTCCCCGCCGCCGCCGCCGCCGCAACCGCCGCCGCGCCGCAGCCGCCGCAGCCGCCGCCGCCGCAGCCGCCGCCCCCGCCGCCGCCGCCAAGTGTATTCTGTATTGCTTTTTGACAGGGATGGTGGGTGGTAGTCGCATCGTGTGGGCTGCGCATGCTCCGAATTTGGAGGCAAAGTGTGTTTGGCCTGGTTTTTTTTTACCAGGGATGGTGGGGGGGTGCCCTCATGGTTCCTGGTTGGCTACCAGTCGCCTGGGGAGGGGGTGTTTATCAATAGGGAACACTAATACACCTTTCCCCCAAGGGAAGGGGTTCTTGGAAGAGGACAGAAAATCAACGTTAGACCACCTGTCGCCCCAAAGGGCTCGTGGGATAGGACTCCACCATGGGATTCCTCTCATTCGCACCGCCCCCCCTATGCAGAGTTATTCGATTGATTCATGTATTTCTCGTGGTGATACCACTATCGCTCGGCGGTGTCTCCTCCTTCGGGGATTACTTAATTATTTTGCGTGTCGCGGATGACGGTGGGGGGACCAGCAATTGCTTCCCACGGTTAGACGTGGCGCTCGTGTATGGAACCGCGCGGGTCAGAGTGAATTGTGAATTTTCTTCGTTCTGTCTCTCTCTCTCTCTCTCTGTCTCTCTCTCGTTCATTGTCTCGCAGGCTGTGGGGCGCACCCGCAGTGTCGAAGCAGGCGGCCCGTCACCCGATCCAACCTCCGCCCCGCTCGTCCCGAGGTGGACGCGTCGTCAAGCGGGCTCTCGGAGGCCGCCCGTACGCCCCGAGGAGGGGCCTGTGCTGCCCTCCGGACGGCCCTGACGATTTCGGGACGACCCAGGGAACACGAATCGAACAAGAAAAGAGGCCATAAGCGTACTCCAGATTTCGTAATAGAGGGAGGGGGGTCTCATTTCGGGGGGGGTCTCTTCCAGGCTGTCTTGGAGGGCCTGGGGGGTCTGGGGACGATCTTTTGGAGGGTTCTCTCACGGGGGAGGTCTGAAATGGCTTGTCTTGGAGGGTCCAGACCCCCTCCCTTTTATTACGAAATTTTGAGTAAAGTGTTTGCGCTCCGCGCGGGTGTCTTGGCTCCGGCGCCGCCCCGGGCGCGCTCCGCATGCCAGGGAGCGGGGTCCAGCGCGGATCCAAGAAATCCGCACGGAGCGCCAGGAGTTCATGCTTATCCATTGTTTGTTTTTCTAACCAAGAGGTTCCAGGATTAGCACCAGAGGCTCCGAAAGGGACTCGGAGCTCCAAGAGGCGCAGAGTGAGGCCCGAGGCAGCACAGATTTCTTCAGAAGCTTGCCTCACAGTCTCGTCTCCTGGATAATGCGTCGGGAGATTCCAAGATCGCTCCACAGCGGGCCAAGAGTTCACGAAGGACAGCGGCCGCACTGGTGTGCGCAAACAGCGTGATATACAAAGGCGCTGTGGTGCGCGCGGTTGGTATGGTGTATACAGTCGCCGTGGCGCACGCACACACACACACATTCACACACACACACAAGAACACACACACAGACACACACACACACGTACCATGTTTGTTGCAGTTTTTGTGTATGAAGGTATTGTGGTGTACACAGCCCGCGTTGTGTGCACAAGCATTGCGGGCTTGGACGACGACGACGACGACGATGTAGGCGGCGCGCCTCGGGGGGTGCGCGCCGCGGCCTCTGTTTTCGTTACCCCCCCGCCGCCCCCCCCCCCCCCCCGCAGGGTAACACGTGTCATCCTCCAGGAACAACGCATATTTGTTTGAAAGATGTTTTGCTGGCCTAGGTTTAAGTCGGGCGTGTCTCTCTACAGGACGACTATCCACGAATCGCCAAGATATTGTCTGGGATTTGTTTTGTTGTTATGTTGTTGCTTGTCTTTCTGTCAAGTTTCTGTGATTATTCCATAATCCACCAGCAGGAAGACATGCCCGACCTAAGCCTAGGTCCGACCTATCTTTCCTCCTCCCTCGTTCTCTCCCTCCGTCGGTTCCCTCGTCGTGGTTTCGTCTTGTCCTCGTTCCCTCGTTCCCTCGTCGTGGTTTCGTCTTGTCCTCGTTCCTCCCGGGCTTCAGGGATTCTCTATGTGTCCTCACCCGAAAGTATCCTCGTCCTGGTTTCGTATTCCTCTTTCCCCCTCCCCGTCCGCACCCACGATGGCGGCGGAGCTGCTGAAGCGGAGCTACCAGGCTTCTGAGTCTGCGCCGCGGCCCTTCGTGATGCGGTCCACGCGCCAGGCGAACGGGGAGGGGCGAGCTCCTTTCGGGCAGGGGGCGGGCGGCCACTCCTTCTGTCGGGCGCGCCCGAACGGTGTGGTGACCGCACCGCGTGGTGAGTCATCACCGAGAGCAGAAGAACCCGAACCCCCATAACACGATGAAGGCGTGGCCTCGTTCAGGTCCACGTCTTCGCAGATTAGTGATGAGAAGTCTGGGCGGTTTGGTCAGACAGGTCTGCGGAACAAATCCCCCGATGCCTGATGTCGTTGGCCCTCCTAACTGGGGTCCCCTCCCAAACGGTTAGGGGTACTTTTACGGATAATCAAGTCAGTGGGGATTAGGGGTCACCGCGCGGTTCGGAGGTTTTTGGTAGTTTTCTGATGACGTTTCGAGCGACCGGGGCCTCGACCAGGTCCCGAAGCAGTGCGGTGACGGGCCGCGCGGTGAGGTCGTCGAGGATCCCGAGGTCATCGCGCGGTCCGTCACCACACGGTTTTGTGGCCCTGGATTCTGGGCCCCCCGAGCCAGGATACAGTCGGGCCGTTGAAGAAGGAGCCCTTTTCGCTGGGGAGGGGTTCAGAGTTCCTTAGTCGTTTTAGATGTTTCCTCAGGTTGTCCTTAGGTCTTCTATGGGACATCGAGATTTAACGTATGGAAAAAAGGGCCCTCGTTCCTCATTCGGGCTTCCTGATGGCAGCGGCTGGACTGTACAGTGTAGACCCATGCCAAGAAACACCCTGCTTGCCTCCAGGGTGCCCTTGGTTTCTTGGGTTTCCATGGACTTGCTGCGCATCGCGTGGCATTCCCACATCAAAAACCCGGGGACGTCCTTGGGTCTCAAGGTGAGGCCTCTTGGAAGGATTCTTGTGCACTGGCCTCCGCTGTGTTCAGGTTTCCTTGCGGCAGCGTCTTGCCTGTATTGCTGGGCAGGACCTCGAAAACTCCCCCTTGGAGAGACCGGGCTACGGAGAACGCCTCGGCCCACGGCTGCGGGCTCTGTCCGCCGTGCCGGCGCCAAGGTTTACATCAACGGCTTTGCTCCGGGGGGCCCGCAGGCTGTGGAAAAAACACCGCACACAAAACACACACAAACACACATACAGACATACACACAACAACAACAACAACAACAACAACACCAACAACAACACCAACAACAACACCAACAACACCAACAACAACAACAACAACAACAGCAACAGCAACAGCAACAGCAACAGCAGCAACAAAGACGACGACGACGACGACATCAATCATTCTAAGACTGTTCGCTCTTACTTGCCCGCGTGTCATTCAAAACGAGTTCCCCACACCCTTGATACCCGCCCTGTCTGTCTTCGATCACACCCCCTTTGGGGGGACTATTTCTCTTTGCGGGGGGCGGCGGGCTCAGACAGGCGGGCAAACCTGAACGAGCGGACGATCCTTCGTGGGCGTACATGTGCCCGCCATTGGAATTGGTGCTGACCCTGCAAAAAGAGGAGGGGGGAGAACGAGGAACAGTGGGAGGAAGGGAGGGGGAGGGACGAAGGAAGAGGGAAAACGCCAGGAGACCAGGAGCGAAGAGGGGGGCGGTTGATTAGAGGCAGAGAGAGAGAGAGAGAGAAAAACATATAAGCAAGGTAGAAAGAGAGAGAGAGAGAGAGAGAGAGAGAGAGCTAGAGGGGAGAGAGAGAGAGAGAGAAAGAGAAAGAGAGAGAGAAATATAAATACAGAAAGGGAGGGGGGAGGCAGCAGAAGAAAGGGAGATGGGAGGAGGGATAGGAGGGAGAGGGGATAGGGCAGAGAGGCATAAGGATGAGGGGGGAGAGGAGGGAGAGAGAAGGGAGGAGAGGAGGGAAGAAGGAGGAAGGAGAGGGAGGAGGAGCAGGAAGGTAAGAGCGTGAACGAACGTTCCAGGAAGTCCTAGGCGAAAGCGCCGTTCCTGAAGGAAGTCTGGGGCGGGAGCCCACGACGGGCGGGCGATCCCCTGACGGGCGGGTCGGGCGGGTGGGACATTCAAGCGGGATACTTGACTATGGCGAGAGCGCAATTACTAACTACAGTGTAGCGGCGTCCTTGGCGCAGCGTGTTCCCTGAGCGTCGAAAACGCGATTTCTGAATACATTGCATGGAAGTCATAAGCGAGAGCGCAACTCCTGAATAAAATGTTAAGGGTTCTCTGGCGGGAGCCGGGGTCTTGATTAAGTTGCGAGGAAGTCTTGGTTCAATTGCGAAGAAGTCTCAAGCGGGAGCGCCTTTCCTGAGTAAAGTGTGAGGAAGTCTCAGATGGGAGGGGGGCTTCGGACTAGATTGCGAGGAAGTCACCACCGGGAGCACCGAGCCTAAGTAAATTGTAAGGAAGTCTCAGGAGCGGGGGTCCTGAGTAAATTTGGAGGAAGTTTTAGGCGGGAGCCGTTGTTGTTGTAATCCGGGGGGGCAGGGGCCAAGTTCGAGCACCAAGTCCCCAGTCAAAAAACAGAGTGCGAGCGTCGAGGGGCACAGTTTGATGGAGAAAAAAACAGTATGCACCGGTGAAGGGGGATCAACCATCATTATTCTTCAGAAATGAGAGTTCAACAGTAACAACACCAACAACTGCAGCAGCAGCAGCAACAGCAACAATAACAATGCTGCGTGTGCGTGTCAATGATTGACCGATACTGGTACCCTTCCATCGGTTTTGCATTTTTGATGCCTCATGGGAGGCCCTCGTCGCCACCGCTGGATTTGCCTCGACATTCTGGTCAGAACGCACCCCAGGAGAGGTCCAGGGAGTAGCGGTATCGGTACTTGTTGGCTTCCCCAGCTAGTGTTTCCAACTAGTCTGCAGAGGCGGCAGTTCTGCTGCTGTTGGAGAGTCGTGGTCAGGAGCAGTTCGCACATTGTTCGACCCTCTTTTGGCGTCGAGGCGTCCGTCGGGCCCGCCGTGGTCCTGGGTCCTGGTCAGGGGGCTCCGACTCCTCGCCCGCCCCTCCTCGCGAAGCAAAGGCCACGCCGCACCTTCGGGGCAGCATGCCTGTCCTGGAGACTGCGGCCGGGCTCGGGCTCGACGTCGGGCCGCGATCTGCAGGACTGGCGGTTCGACGTGGGTGTTTGTTTGGGCGTTGCGTGTTGGGGGGGGGCGTTGTGTGTATATCGATATCTATATATATATATATATATATATATATATATATGTAAACGTTGTGTGTGTATATATATATATATATATCTTGCGAAGGCCTCACGGCCAGTGCCGCCGACCCTGCAGACGGAGACGACGCGCAGGACAAGCGCGTTGAGGAGCAGGAGGAGGAGGACGTCTGGGAGCAGGAGGTGCGGGGAGGAGGGGGAGGAGGAGGAGGAGGAGGAGGAGGAGGAGGAGGAGGAGGAGGAGGAGGAGGAGGGGAACAGGAGGAGGAGGGGGAGGAGGAGGAGAGGGAGGGAAATTAACATGAGCAGGACGAGGCGAGCAGGGCCGCATGGTGCAGGAGTGGGAGGGCTGACACGGGAGAGAGGCAGGGGGGGTACAGCTTGGAGAGCATGAGGAGGAGGAGGAGGAGGAGGAGGAGGAGGAGGAGAAGGAAAAACAATGACGAGGGGATGGAAGATGATGACGACAAGGGTGATGATGTCGGTGACGGTGACGGTGCTGATGTCGCGGAGGGAGGGGAGTAAACCCGGCGGCAGGAGAAGTCGGAGGAGGAGGAGTAGGAAGGTGAGGATTATGAGGAATAGGAGGGGTAGGGGGCGGAGGAGGAAGGGAGGGCGGATGCTTCTTGGGTCTCTTCTGAATGCTTCCGGGAGTCTGTGGGGAACAGTCTGGAGGCCTCTTGGCCCTTGCTGTCGGTCCAAGAAACTCCGCAGAGAGCCCTCTGACAGTTTGGGGGCCTCTGTGGCCAGTTGTTCGACGAGAACCCTCTGACAAGTCCAGGAAACTCCGCAGAGGGCCCCAAACCAATTCCATGCTGTAGCGTTGCTTTGGGGCCGCCTTTTGAGCTTTGAGAGCTTAGGAAGGCCCCGATTTGCGTCTCCACAGGATAACTCGGCACAGCCCTCCCGGGTGATCTTGTGAGCAGGCCACTGGGAACGTTCTTGGAGCCCTTTGGGCCCCTTCTCATAGCCGTCGGAGAGGCCGGACGGAGCTCGCAGACGACCCCCAGAGGGCGCGAAGACGTCTCCGAGAGAGGTCGAAAGACCAACGTTCAGTGACACAAGCGGTGTGTCAGAGAAATCGTTGAAGTTCTCTGGAGTCTCTTTGGGTTGTCTTGGAGCTCGCGGGAGGTTTTCGGGGAGCCGTCTTGGTGCTCTTCGCGGGTTTCTCGAGGCTCTCCAAAGCCGTCGGCTCTTTTTGAGTTCTCTGAGGTTGATTGTGTTTGTGTCTTGTTGTGTTGTTGGGTGTTGCGTTTCCTGGATGCTTCGTGTCATAGGGGCTGGTGGGTCGCGGGCGGGTCGCGGGGTCATCGTCGTCGTCGTCGTCGTCGTCGTCGTCGTCGTCGTCGTCGTCGTCGTCGCTCGCCCGCGCCAGCCTGGTGCTCGTCGTTAGGTACGACTGGGTCCTGGGGCCTGGTGCCTGGGAGTCCTGGACTTGTTGGGGGGCTGGTTCCTGGTGCTGGGTCATGGGAGGAGGTCCTCGGGGCTGGGTCCTGGAGGGTCCCGGGGACCTCGGAATCCTGGGTCCTGGGGTGTCCCGTGGCCGAGCGCCCAGGAGGCCGGTTCGGTTCTGGAAGGGGACGGAGGACAGAGGCGAGATGAGGGGGGAGGGAGGAGGGGGGAGGGAGGAGAGGGCGTGGTAGAATGCCTCGGCTCTTGGCCAGTCTGAGGCTTTGTGTGGGCCCTGGGACCCCCCCCGGGACTCCCTCGGGACCCCCCCCCCGGACTCCCCCGGGACCCCCCGGCAGGCGAGGGATCAAAGGGAAATGGCTTCCATTCGACTCAATGACAACGTTGCTCTTGAGGGGGAGGCCCTGGAAATGCGGGGGGGGGCGGCGACGGGCCTAGAGGAGGGGAGACGGGCCCTGCAGGGAAAGGGGGAGCGCAGGGACAGGAGACGACTGGCCCATGGAAATGGTGGGCGCAGGGACAGGAGACGACGGAGACGACGAACGAACGACGGTAACGGACAAGCTCCTCACACACGACGGCACAGGGCCTGCGGATGTGTATAATACGTGTGTGTATATATATATATACAGACATACATGTACATATATATACATATATATTTACATACGTGTAACCATATATATATATATATATATATATATATATGTATGTATGTATGTATGTATGTATGTATGTATGCATGCATGCATGTATGTATGTATGTATGTATGTATGTATACATATATCGGCGCACCGGGTCCGGGGGCCCGGGGCCGGGACCTCGACCACAAATGTGCACCCCGGGGGGCCCGGAGGCTCGTCGGGGCTTGCCGGAGGCCTCCCCAGTCAGACAAGACGGCCCAAGAAGCGCCCAAGACGGCCCAAGAAACTTCCAAGAGGCCTCCAAGAGGGCTCCGAGATGCTGAAGATGGCCTCCAGACGTCCAAGGACGCCCCCAAGAGGCCCCAAGAAGCCTCCAACATGCGTCCCAAGAGGGCCCCTAGACGCAAAAATTGGCCCATTCCCTTCGTAAAACGTACATTTTCAACAAAGTTGTCTTTTGGGCTTTCCGACGTTACAGGACGGCCCAAGAGGCGCCCAAGACCGCCCCAAGACGGCCCAAGAAGCTTCCCAGAGGGCCCCAGGACAGCCCAAGAGGGCCCCAAGACGGCCCAAGAGGCGCCCAAGATGGCCCAAGAGGGCCCCAAGACGGGCCCAAGAGGGGGCCCAGAGGGGGACCACGAACCGCAAGCTCGAGCCTTCCGCCCCAAGAGGCCGCCAGGAGGCCCCCAGGAGGCCCCTCAAGAGGCCCCGGGAGACCCCAGACGTCCAAGGACGCCCCCAAGAGGCTCCAAGAAGCCTCCAACATGCGTCCCAAGAGGGCCCCTAGACGCAAGAATTGGCCCATTCCCTTCGTAAAACGTACATTTTTAACAAAGTCGCCTTTTGGGCTTTCCGACGTTACAGGACGGCCCAAGAGGCGCCCAAGACCGCCCCAAGACGGCCCAAGAAGCTTCCCAGAGGGCCCCAGGACAGCCCAAGAGGGCCCCAAGACGGCCCAAGAGGCGCCCAAGATGGCCCAAGAGGGCCCCAAGACGGGCCCAAGAGGGGGCCCAGAGGGGGACCACGAACCGCAAGCTCGAGCCTTCCGCCCCAAGAGGCCGCCAGGAGGCCCCCAGGAGGCCCCTCAAGAGGCCCCAGGAGACCCCAGACGTCCAAGGACGCCCCCAAGAGGCCCCAAGAAGCCTCCAACATGCGTCCCAAGAGGGCCCCTAGACGCAAAAATTGGCCCATTCCCTTCGTAAAACGTACATTTTCAACAAAGTTGTCTTTTGGGCTTTCCGACGTTACAGGACGGCCCAAGAGGCGCCCAAGACCGCCCCAAGACGGCCCAAGAAGCTTCCAAGAGGGCCCCAGGACAGCCCAAGAGGGCCCCAAGACGGCCCAAGAGGCGCCCAAGATGGCCCAAGAGGGCCCCAAGACGGGCCCAAGAGGGGGCCCAGAGGGGGACCACGAACCGCAAGCTCGAGCCTTCCGCCCCAAGAGGCCGCCAGGAGGCCCCAGGAGGCCCCTCAAGAGGCCCCAGGAGACCCCAGACGTCCAAGGACGCCCCCAAGACGCTTCGCGTCACCAATTTCTTCTCGCAACGATTCCTGGGTCTGTGACTCGACAGAACCTAAGCGCGCGCGAAGCGCGCGCGTGGTTCTAGTATGTATGTATGTATGTATGTATGTATGTAGGTATGTAGGTATGTAGGTATGTAGGTATGTAGGTATGTAGTTATGTAGGTATGTGTGTATGTATGTATGTATGTATGTATGTGTATGTGTATGTGTATGTGTATGTGTATGTGTATGTGTATGTGTATGTGTATGTGTATGTGTATGTGTATGTGTATGTGTGTATGTGTATGTGTATGTGTATGTGTATGTGTATGTGTATGTGTATGTGTATGTGTATGTGTATGTGTATGTGTATGTGTATGTATGTATGTGTGTATGCATGTATGTATGTATGTATGTATGTATGTATGTATGTATGTATGCATGCATGCATGTATGTATGTGTGTGTCTATGTTTACATATATGTACAAACGTGTATAGCTTAATGACTTTGCTCGTTCGCCTGCCTGTGTTGTGCCATCGCTGGCAGTTGCCAACGCGCTCGTGGCCCGCGCGGCGCTGCTTGGCGGTGGTATTTTGGTTTGGAGGCGTGGCTACAGCAGGCGTGGATGTGAAGTAGTTGCTTTGGAGCTTGTCGTGCGGGTTCTGGCCTCTGCTGCTCACCGACATGGCTAGGTTGTACGTCGGAGTCCTTAGGGGTGCTTCTTGAGGTCGCTTCGGAGCGCTCTCGGGGGCTTCTGGTGGGCAGTTCTGGGGACTCTTTGGTTGGGTCTCGGAGCCTCTTTGAAGCCCCGTTTGGGTCTCTTGTGGCCTCCTGGAGGCCTCTAGGCGGCATCTTGGGGCCTCTTAGGGGCCTCCTGGGAACTCCTGGAGGCCTCTGAAGACCGGGGGCTTGACATGCTGTTTCGTGTTCTCCCTCTGGGGCCTCTCTTGGGGCGTCCTCGGGGCCCTCTAAGGCCGTCTCGGAGTTCTCTTAGGCCGTTTTGAAGCCCTCTTGGGCCGTCTTGGAGCCCGCCTGGGGGCCTGTTGGGCCGTGTTGGAGCGATCTTGGAGGCCTCGTAGGCCGTCTTTGAGCGTCGTGAAGCTGCACAGGCGAGAATGCCAACATCCTTCAACAACCGATGCGAAATTGACTAATTTTGCCTGTAGAGGCCCTCTGGGTAGTGCTCTTGAAGGGCTCTTGGGCCATCTGGGGGCCATCTTGGGCGTTTTGGAGCGATCTGGCGGTGTCCCCGACGCCTCTTGGACCATCTTGGGGGCTTCTTGGGGGCTTCTTGGGGGCCTCTTGGGGGGCTTTCTGGGGGACCCGAGGGCGGCGCTCAGGAGCAAAACCATCTCTGATGGGACCTTGCTGGGACCTTGCCGTGGTACTTTTCGGCTGGGGGCCCTCAGGGGCGCCCCCGCGTGCGCGAACCAGTAAACTCTGAACCAGCAGTCACGTGAGATCGTCGCACGCCGCTGGCCCGTTGGGCTGGCGAACGCGCACAAACACACACACACACACACCACACACCACACACACACAGTTACGCATATCTCTATACATACATACATATATATACACATTTATATTCATACATACACACACACGCACAAACACACATAATATATGTGTGTGCATATAGATGTTTAGATGTGTGTATTTGTATAGATGTGTGTAGGGGGATCGCGAACATTTCGCGGTTTGCCGCCCTAAAGGGTCCCCCCCTCGGACCCAAAAGGGGCACGGAAGGTGCACGCTTCTCCCACCAATTGATCGCCCCCCCAATGAAGCAACGTCCGACTTTCATCTCACGTCGGTTCGACTCGGGCTCGGCGTGGATTCAGCGCGGATCCGACATGGTTTCAGCGCGGATCTTGACGCGGCGGGACAGACCGGAGTCCCCCCAGAGATACAGCGAAGCAAGGGGGGTCCTGAGGGAGGTGGGTCTCGTTTTTTTCTCACGCGACGGGGGCGTTGCGTCTCCCTTCTGAGCCCGCAGGATGCTGCCTCGCCCCCTGGTGTGCGCATCGGAGCATCGGTGCTGCCATGCCCTGTTGTCGGCCACGCCGCCTGAGCAGACAGACGTAGCATCAAGATGAGGCGACACCTTCTGGGCAACAGCCGAATGGTAAGCGATAGTCCGCGAATCGACAGAGGCATGGACGGGGAAGGGGAGGAGCAGGGGAGAGGAGGAGCAGGATGAGCTGCATGAGAGGCAATTTCGAGCCAAAAAGCTTGACCCACGGGCCGGTGCTGCCGTCGTCAGTCGGCAGAGCGCATGCGACACTCAGCATGAAGTGGGCTGGCGACGAGGGTGCCTCGTCCGGATGTTCAGATCGCCAGCATGTTTATCGTGATGGTCGTGTTGTAGGCCGATGGTCGGCCGATATACCATTGCGCGATCTGCCCGACGACCACCCTACGCCACATCGACCGAGCCAGGTTGGCGATTTCGCACCCGATCGTCGGTGTCGTCCTTGTCTTCCTCCCTCCTGCTCTCCTCCTCGTCCTCCCCTCGCCCTCCGCCCCCTCCGCCTCCGCCCCCTGCATGATTCCCCTCACTCCTTACCCTTCCTCCTCCCTCTTCCCTCTTGTCCTCCCTCCCCTCGCATCCTGGTCCGTCCTCCCCATCCGTCCCCCCTCTTCTCTCGTCCGCCCCCTCCTCCACTTCTGTTCTTCTCCTCGTCCTCCCGCCCTCTTCCTCCCTCGCCTCCTCAGCTGTCCCCACCCCCGCTCGTCCACGTCCTCCCCTCCCCGTCCTCTCTCCTGCGCCCCCTCCCCCCTCCGCCCTCCTCGATCTCCTCGCCCGTCCCACCGGCGCCGTCGCCGCCGCCGCCGCGAGGAGGTGCCGTGGACGCCGGGCATGGCCTCCAAGAGCCCCGTGCTCGCCCGCATCGCCGAGGGCGCCAAGGGGCTGCCGGACAGCCTGCAGGCCACCGGTGGAGGGCTGTCGTCGCCGTCCTGCGGAGGCCCCCAGACGGTGTGGTGACCACACCGTGTGGCGAGTCAGCCGGGATTCGGGGTCATCGCGCGGTTTTGCGACTTGGGTCGTTCTCCGGGGATGTCTCGGGCGAGCGGGGTCTCCAGGGGGTCCCCAGACCGTGCGGCGACGGGCCCTGCGGTGAGGTCTTTGCGGACTTCGAGGTCACCATGCGGCTTGTCACCACATTTGGCGGCGCGCACAAGGGGGTAGGGGGAGGGGGGAAGGCTTCTTAGAAGGAGGCTGCTTCTTAGAAGGCGCCGGCCTTACATCTACAAAGAAGGCCCGCGCCTTCTAAGAAGCAGGGGTGCTTCTAAGAAGCCTTCCCCCCTCCCCCTACCCCCTTCTGCGCATGGCCAGCACACGATTTTGGGACCCCCAAGTCCTGTGGAGTCGGGTCGGGCGAGAAGGCCCCCAGAGAGGGCTCGAGCTAGACGGTGTGTGGGCGATGTGGTGGGCCGTTTCGGTCGTGATGTCGTTCTGCAGCAGAGGCGGCAGGGACGACAGGGCGAGGGAGAGCGAAAGCAACGCAGGAAGGGAAGGCTCTGTTTGGCTCGAGCCCTGCCCCCGGATCCTTCCACGAGGTGTTTTTTGTCCAACCTGGGCGTGCGTCCTCGCTTTCTGCCCTTGGGGGGCCTGTTCCGGGGCCCGGGGCCATCAAGGATGGAATGGCTCGGCTATCCCCGGCCAGGGAAATGGCCGGGACCTTCTGAGGCCGCGGCTGGAAACAAACGACACATCGGCGGACGTTGATGATCATTTCGCAAGGGGCCTCTTGAGGCCGTCTCTTGGGTTCCTCTTTTTGGCCCTGGAGGCCTTTAGGGGAACAGCTTGGAGGATATCAATCAAAGAGGAGGGGTCCTTTAAAACACAAAGAGACTGTCGACAACTAAAGGAAAGAGGATAAGCCAGAGAGGCAATTAAGAATCCCCCCCTCTCCGGCGAAAGTATAACGCTCCAGCACCCTTGAAGCGTTACTTTGGTACCTCGCAACCTGCTGAGGTCTCGCAGGTTTAGCTGAGGACTCGCTCAGCGTTTCAGACTGGAGCTCCAGTCGCCCGCGCAGGCCGCTTCGAATCAGACACGTCGCCATCGTCGTCATCGGCGTTACCGTCGCAGCGGCAGTAGCACGAGTCAGGAGGGGAATAGGAATATTTAGGAATCCTACATATTCCCATTGGGATACCGCCCGAGCCAAGGCGCGGGAATTATTTATTGCCCTTTTCTTTTGCGCGGTGCTAAAGGTATCGTTCTGCGAAAACCGCCCCCAATCAGTATTTAATTACAGTGCGGTGCTAACGATAACCCCGGGGGGGTTCTTAATTGCTTACTGCGGTGATCGGCAGGACATCGATCAAATGTGAGATCGGAACAATAACGAGGAGGGGTCCTTAATCAGCCTGTCCCCTCTGCCCCTGGAGCTCCTACGTCTTCTCCCCTTGGGGCCCTCCTGGGGCGCTCTTAGGTGGCGTTCTTGGGCGCTCTCGGGGCCGTCTTGGGGAAATGTTGTGCCTCTCTTGGGGCCCTCTTGGGCCCTCTTGGAGCCATCTTGAGGCCTCGGGAGCCCATCGGAAGAGAAAGGGCAAGGAGGTCGCCATCATTGATTTCCCATTGGTTTTTGTCCGGTCTGGGCCTCTTGGGGGCCTCCTTGGGAGTCTCCGCGGCCACATGTAGCCATCTTGAGGCCATCATGGGCCTCTCGGAGGCATCTTTGTGGCCCTCTCGGAGCCCTCTTGGAGCAAAGGCCTCCCAAAGATGCCCCCGAAAAGCAAGAATCCTAACAAGCCCGCTTGTGTGTTTCAATGTTTGAACTGATCATCGCCCATCTGGAGGCATCAACGTCTTCTCTTGGAGCCCTCCTGGGGTGCTCTTGGGGCGGTGTCGGGGCCGTCTTGGGGCCACCTGGGGCCCTCTGGGCTCTTTTGGATTCATCTTGAGGCCTCGGGAAGCCATCGGAAGCGAAAGGCCGCGATGACTAAACTCATTGATGTTCCGTAGGTGTTGAGCGGATGTTGGCCTCTTGGGAGCGTCCTGGGGAGGCCCCTAGCACTCTTGGACCCATCTTGGACTGGTCTTGGGGTCTCTTGGAGCATGTGGGAAGCCATCTTGAGCGATCCTGCACTATGTTAGGACATCTGGAAGATCACCATGAGCTCTTGGAAGCCCAGCTGGAACCATCTTGAGCCCAAAACAACCCTCTGGGAGGGGGTTAACTAAGGGGAGGGGTCAACCCCTCCCCGAAGGGGGAAAAAGGGGGTTGGAAGAAGAAACCTGCTAAGCCATTCACGCCCCGAGGGCTGATTACTCCGCCTTTGGAGTTCACTACTCTAGCGTCTGGCAATCGAGAGGAAGCGTCGATGTAGCGTCGAGAAGCGTCAATTTCTCGCCGGCAATTCCTCGTCGAGTCGCAAGAGCCAGCAAGATTGCACGGGAGGATCTTCCATGAGATGCCACCGAGCGTGCAGCCGAGAGATGAGCGGCAGGCGAACATGGACGAGCACGGGCGCATCGTCTTGGACGACCTCCAATTCGGGCCGGAGGCGCTGGCCACCCTTCTCGCCTTCTGCGCGGGCGAGGAGCTGGACCTCCGCGCCCTGACGGCCGCGCAGCGCGTGGAGGCGTGCCGCTGCGCCGACTTCTACGACATGTGCGCCAGCTACCGCAGCAGGCCCCAGGGTCGCTCCATCGGTGGTTCAAAGATCAGGGGCGCCCTCGGGGGCTCGAAGCTTTTCGCGCTTCGCGGTGCGGCTCCTCATCCTCCGCGCCCTCCTCTTCTCCCTCGGGGGGCGGCGCGGGTGCGCGGAGCTGCTCGCGCGTCGCGCAGCGCGCAGCGCGAATATAGGCGCCGTTGCAGATGGGGCCCCGAGGGATGGAGCCCGGAGGACGAGGTGCCTCAAACAGTGCAAAACCCATCCCTGGATCCTTTCCGATCCTCAGGCCCCCATCCCTCGGGGCCCCATCTCTGAATCGCCGACTCCAGGGGCCCTCCAGTAGCCTGGCATCGCTCGGACGTGTGCATTTTTTCTCGGCGAGAACCATTGAGGACGATCCTGGACCATCGAGCAGAAAAAACACGCACGAAACCGACAAATGCACGGGACATGGACGTCCGAGCGATGGCGAGGTAGTCTTTGGGCCTCCCACATGGGTCCGAGCAGATGGGGGCCGGTGGACCCCTTCTGCACCGCCGATGCATCGGGGATGCAGCTCGATGTGGAGCCCGATTTTCTCCACGCCTGCGTCGGCGATGCCTCGGCGACGCGGTATTGAGGCTGGAGTCCGAGGTGGCCCAGCACTGGGTCTGGCGAGCAGGCAGGGGGGCGGCATGGGCTCGAGGCTCTTCGAGCAGGAGATCGTCGGCAGAATTGCTTCACCCCGAGATGGAAGTTTCCGTCAAGTCTGCGAGTAATGCGCAGGATTCGCAGATCTACGAACGTCCCCCATGTCTGTTGTAGATTTCGAAGAGCACGGCAATTGCTGGGGCAACTCCATTCTCTAGTCGATCTCCTACTCGGGATCTGGGTTCGGGGAGATCTCTTTGGGCCTCTTCGCTGGGCCTGGGGCCGTCAAACACGGATCCCGGGGTGAACTCCTGCACCAGGTGGACCCCGGGAGGGGTCCGTGGACCGATGTTGGCTCGGGGGTGGTGGTGACAGGGGGGGTGACATTCAGTAGAGACCCATGCCAGGAACACCCTGCTTGCCTGCAGGGTGCCCTGGGTTCCTTGGGTATTGCTGGTTTTGCGATGGAAAGCGTGACGTTCCCACACCAAAAATCAATGTACGTCCTGGGGTCGCAGGGTTGGGTTTCTTGGGGAAGGTTTTCTGTGGACGGGCCTCCACTACACGCCAGTCGTTGGAAGTAGGTATTTCCGGATCCCAAAATTCCAACCTACTTGAGGCGCCTTTCTACTTCTTCCGGAGACGAGCGATTGTCCCTCTTCCCTCCTCTTCAGGGGGCTGGCGGAGGCCCAATCTACTTTCAAAGCTTTCCGGCTTCATGTTTCTACCCGCTTCTTACGACCGACGGCTCCATGGGGGGCGAAGAAGAGGGGCCTACAGGGGGCCGTTTGGGCCCCTGCTGGCCCCCACAGGGGCCCTGAATGGCCTCGACAGGGCCCTTCCCTTGTCCTCCCAGGCGGGCCACCCCTCATGATCACTCCCCCGATTGACCAGATTTGCCGCATCCTCCTCTCGTGACAGATTCTCTCGGGGTCCGTCCAGGTCAGACCCTCCGGCCGCCTCCAGCTCCAATAGGCTTGCAGTGACACAGACACACGTAAGAACAGACATCGATGACAAACTGGAAGTGCAGGGGAAGATGCCAATCCATAAGATATGACCTCAGGAGGTCTTTAGTGCTGATCTCTCCGTTTTTCACTCGGCGGTGCGCAGGCCTGTCCTAAAACCTCCTTCTCCTCCTCCCCCCTCGCCCCCTCTTCGTCTCCCCCTCCTCGTAGACGTACTCGCAATCGAAGTCGTAGCCGTCGTCGTTGTCGTCGTCGTTGTTGCGCGGCGGGTGCCTTGGGACAAATTATTAGCTACCCCCTGTTGGTGGGACCCCAGTCCTTCAGTACGGCCGCCGAACACATGATGAGTTACCCCCTGCTGGGAGGGTGAAAGACTTGTTGCAGTTCACAAACATCTGCAATCCTGGGATTTGTTGATATTTGCGTGTCTCCCTGGGCTCTGGAGAACTGGAGAAGAGGGCCCCGCCTCGCACGCTCTGCAGAACTACTGCGGCCCCCGGGCCCCAAGGGGCTCCCAGTGCCTCCTGGGTATCCCCCCGCGCGTCTTCCACGAATTGACCACGGCATGCCTCGAGTAGGGGATCGACTACAGAATTGATTTCCCCCAACATCGGTCTTCTTCGAATCTACGACAAGTGCGTCGAATGGTCTGTTGATCTGCGAACATGCCATGTATGCTCGTCGGTTCACGAACAATCAGTTGCTCACATTTCGCGTGTCCCCACCAGCCCGTTCAGAAACGATGCTCAGAGAGCCAACGGGGAAAGAGACGACGAGACACATGTAGTGAAACAAAGCGGGCAACCATGATGAAGAGAGAGAAATCTGGAAGCACGGAGGTGGCCTTACATGGCCTCTTCGGGCCATCCCTGGAGGAGGAGGAGGAGGAGGAGGAGGAGGAGGAGGAGGAGGTGGAGCAGGAGGAGCAGGAGGAGGAGGCGGCAAACCGCCTTGGGACTCTCTTGGGCGCTCGTGGGAGGTGGAGCAGGAGGAGCAGGAGGAGAAGGCCCTCGTGGGACACCCTTGGGACGCTCTCGGGTGCTCTTGGGGCCGTCTCGGGGCTTTCTTGAGGTCTGCTCGGGGCTCTCTTGGTGCCCTCTTGGGGATCCCTGGAGGGCCTCCTGAGGCCATCTTGGAAGCTGTCGATCAAAAGAGGGGGGCCCCCCGATGTTAGCCCTCCCCGAGGGCCAGTAAACTCGCCTCTTGGGGCCCTTTCGAGGCGCTCTTGGGCCGCTCTTAGGTAAGCCGCTTGGGGCCGTCTTGGGGCTGCCTGGGCGCCCTCTTGGGGCCATCGAGACATCTTGGAACCCTATTGGTTAATATTGGGCGCTCTGTTCAATCGCGGCCCCCAAAAAATCCTCAGTGAGGGGAGGGGGAGGGTGTCCCTCCTCGAAGGGAAGAGGGCATTGGAAGACGACAGAACGATATCGCTTGACCACCTTAGCCCAACGGGCTGGTGGGATTCTGGGGTACATCAATTCTGCATTCGATCTCCTATTCGAATGCCGCAGCCGCCGTGCCCCAAGGGGCCCGGTGTTCCCGCGGGTTCCGCCCTCGGAGGTATCCTCGGTGTTCTTCGGAGGCCTTCGCGGCGGCATCCCGGGGATGTGGCCCGCTCGACGAGAGCTCCCAAACCTGCAGCACCAGGTCCCAAGGGGTTCCGCCCCCCCACCACACTCCCCGTGCAGCAAGGCCTGTGTGGTGTGGGCGGGGGTTTGGAGTCGCGGCCTCTGCCGCGTCTCCCCGACCTCCTGCTTCCCAACGCGCTGCAGGTTTGGTCTAAAACAGAGGGGTGTCGCCTCCTTCCCTCTGTTTTCACAAGCTCGAAGAGGTTGGAAAAAAAAAAACAATCCCAAGGGGTTCCGCCCAGAGGGGTCATTTTTGCCATGTTCGAAGACTTTCGCGGCGGCATCGCGGGATCGGGACCCCGTGCATCCAGGTCTCCCACGTGGGGTCTGAGTACAGTCGGGGCCCTGAAGAAGGAACCCTTTTCGTTGGGGAGGGGCTCCGCGTTCCTTGAGTGTTTCACGGCTTGCCTCAGGTTTTCCCTATGTTTTCGATAGGAAATCGAAGTTCAACTTATGGAAAAAGGGGCCTCGTTCCTTATTTAGGGTTCCTTAGGTCAACGCCCCGACTGTAGATGGGGTCGACGGATCGCGCCGCATCGCCGATGCATCGCCGATGCGGCCCGATGTGGAGCCCGACGTCATCCATGCCGACGGCGCTGATGCGCCGCTGACGTCGCCGATGCGATGCATCGGCGATGCGGCGCGATCCTCCGACCCCATCTACTCGGACCCCGTTTGGGAGGTGTCCATTGCAGTAGCAGGAGCTGGACGAGAGCTTTCAAAAGGGCGGTAGCACGTCCCCAATTTGCATTCTCTGTGGACCAAGTTGTGGTACAGGAGCCGCGGATGGAGAGGAGGGCGCCGACTGAAACCCGGCACTGGGCCTGACTAGGCCAGGCTCGGGCCCACGATCTCTGAGCACGCCCTCCAGACCCAAGCTCTCGGCAAGGAGTTGGCCACTGACAGCGTCGGTGTTACAGCCTCCTGCCAGGGTGGGCGCCGCGCTGCTCACCACCCTGGATGGAGAGTCCGCGGACGCTACGGAGATTGACTTCACCATGGTTCCGCTCACGCTCGGGCCCCTCGTGCAGTCGGTCAGCATCTCGAACGTGACGATCCGCAACCTGACCCTGGCGCGCTGCCACATCGGCGCAGCGTCGTTCCGAGACTGCAACATGCGGGTGCTGCCAGATGCGCCCCTGGCACAGGGTGCCCCCGGACCTCCAGGGAGGCCTCCACGGCTTCCAGAGCACCCCTCACAAGGCCCCGATTTTTTCTTTCTTCAGGGAGAACATGAAAAACCTTCTGGGCGACGACCACTCTGCAACGGCAAATTCTCATGTCACGGAAACGGTCGGAAGGAACAGGGGAACGCCTGAAGTAATCCAGACGGTGTTCGTCTCTACAGAGGAGGGAGGACGGAGGGATACCATAAGGGGGAAAGGAGGGGGGCTCCGAAGTGGCGCGAAGAGCTGAGGGCATCTTGGGCCAGGGTTTCTGTGGTAGCCCCCGAGACACTGTCTGGATTACTTCAGGCGTTCCCCTGTTCTTCTGACCGTTTCCATGACATGAGAATTTGCCGTTGCAGAGTGGTCGTCGCCCAGAAGGTTTTTCATGTTCTCCCTGAAGAAAGAAAAAATCGGGGCCTCGTGAGGGGTGCTCTGGAAGCCGTGGAGGCCTCCCTGGAGGTCCGGGGGCACCCTGTGCCAGGGGCACATCTGGCAGCCCCCGAGACATAGAGAACTGCACCTTCGAGGCCTCGGTCAGCACCACGACGCTCGCGGTGGAGGGCTGCAGCCTGCAGCAGTTCCGCTGCTGCTCGCACTGCGCGCAGGTGGTGACCTTCTCCGCCTCGCGCGTGCAGGACTGCCGGCTCCGCGGCGGGAAGGAGGCGACCGGATCGGGGAAAATTAGAATAAGAAAACTTTGGCCAGACGAAAGGGGGGGATTGGGAAAGGGGGGGTTACGAAATTTGCTGCATGCAGCTGGTTTCGGCCCCGCCGCCGGGCCCATCCCTCGATACATGGGCGCCTCCCAGCGCCAGGAGGCGCTGGGAAAATCAGCTACGTGAGCTGATTCTCACCCCCCCCCCTTTGCTATCCCCCCCTTTCGCCCGACCCGAAAAACTGTTGGGCATTAACATAAATTGTGGGCGCTCCGCGCGGGTTTCTTGGATCCGCCCTGTGACCCCCGGCGGCGCCTCTGGCGCCGCCCCTGGCGCGGAGGGGGGTCCAGCGCGGGTCCGAGAAGTCCGCGCGGAGGGCAAAAAGTTTCTGTTTGATCTGGGCAGGGCCAGGAACACGTAGAGATCTGGGCGTTGCAATTTTGCCGTGCTTTGTTGTTTCGTCAAGTTTTTCGGGCCCCGGGGGCATCCTAGATCGATCCGGCTCGAAAAGTGCAGAAGAAAGAATGTAGTCTAGGGCTCCCGTCGTTGTTCTTTTCGTGATGGTGCATTCGTTTCGCAGCATCGGCTCTCAAGGTATGGCCATCATACTATGTTTGTAACCGCCACCCTGCGCAGTGTAGTGCACTCACTTCGCGGTCGGTTTGCGAGAGTCGGACGTTCAGCAAAGTTTGTGCACCATGTTTCGGGCGAAGGCCATCGCAAACCTTGGCGTGCACATGTGCAGACCCCCCATCGGGGCCCAGTGGCCCAACGCAGATCGGCTGCCGAGGATCACCCCACCCGCATCTGAGATGAGAAGGAGGGGCCACCGCCAGCGAGAACCCCTGGGGGGAGGGGCGGGGCCGACCCCTGGGCGGCGGCACGCCTGAGCGTCACCCAGCACGGGACGACTTTCGGGCGTGCCACCGCCGAGGGGGCGCCCCACCCCCACCTCCCGGTGGGTTCTCCGCGGCGGTGGCCTTGGAGGACAAGGCAGAGGAGGAGGGAGGAGGAGGAGCAGGATCGAGGAGGAGGAGGAGGATCGAGGAGGATCGAGGAGGATCGAGGAGGATCGAGGGGTATCGAGGGGGACGAGGAGGAGGAGGAGGAGGAGGAGGAGGAGGAGGAGGAGGAGGATGGATGACCGATGATTTCTCCTCTGGGCATCGCCGCTCGTGATCTCGGAAGGGTGCTCGGTGGCCAGACGTCGGGGCGTCGTGGGCGGGTCGGCGGCGTGCGCCGGTGCCGGGGGGAAGACAGCGCAGGGGTTCGGTTGCGGCGGCCCTCGGGCGGTCTGGGGGGCAATCCCGGCCCGCGGAGCCCGTCGTCGTCATCGTCGTCGTCATCGTCGTCCCTCGTCGTCGTCGTCGTTCCTCGTCATTCCTCGTCGTCCTCGATGTTCCTCGCCGTCCTCGTCATCGTCGTCGTCGCCGTCGTCGTCCCTCGTCGTCGTCGTCGTCTTCGTCGTCGTCATTCCACGCCGTCATCGTCTTCGTCGTCGTTCCTCGTCGTCGTCGTTGTCGTTATCATCGTCGTCGTTGTCGTCGCTACTTGTCATCGTCGACGTCGTCCTCGTCGTTCCTTGTCGTCGACATCGTCGTCGTCTTCGTTGCTCGTCGTCCTCGTCTTTCCTCGTCGTCGTCGACGTCGTTCCTCGTCGTCGACGTCGTTCCTCGCAGTCGTCGTCGGCCGTCGTGCGTCGTCCGTCGTCGTCGTCCGTCGTCGTCGTCCGTCGTCGTCGGCGTTGCCGTCGTCGTTTTCGTCGCCGACGTCCTCGTCGTCCTCGTCGTCGTTGTCGTAGTCGTTCCTCGTCGTCGTCGTCATTCCTCGCTCTCGTCGTCAACGTCGGCGTCGTCGACGTTCGTCGTCTTGCGTCGTCGTCGTCGTCCGTCATCGTCGTTGTCGTCGTCGTCGTCCTCGTCAGCGTCGTTCCTCGGTCCTCGTCGTAGTTGTCGTCGGTCCTCGTCGTCGTCGTCGTTCCTTGTCGTCGTTGTCGTCATTCCTAGTCGTCCTCGTCGTTCCTCGCCGTCCTCGTCGTCGTCGTCGTTCCTCGTCCGTCGTTGTATCCGTCGTCGGCTTTCCTCGGCGTCATCGGCGTCGTCGTCGTCGTCCGTCTTCGTCGTCATCGTCGTCGTTGTCCTCGTCGTCGTTGTCGTTCCTCGTCGTCATCGTTCCTCGTCCTCGTCGTCTTCGTCGTCGTCATTCCTCGTCGTCGTTGTCGTCGTCCCTCGTCGTCGTCGACGTTCCTCGTCGTCGTCGTCGTCATCGTCTGTCGTCGTCGTCGTGTTCGTCGTCGTTCTCGTATTCGTCGTCGCCGTTCCTCGTCGTCCTCGTCGTTCCTCTCTGTCGTCGTCGTCATTATCCGTTGTCGTCGTTACTCGTAGTCGTCGTCGTTCCTCGTCGTCGTCGTTGTCGTCCTCGTCGTCGTCATTCCTCCTTGTCGTCGTCGTCGTCGTTCCTCGTCGTCGTCGTCGTCATTCCTCGTCGTCCTCGTCGTTCCTCGCCGTCCTCGTCATCGTCGTCGTCGTCGTTGTCGTCGTTCCTCGTCGTCGTCGTCTTCGTCGTCGTTGTTCCTCGCCGTCATCGTCTTCGTCGTCGTCCGTCGTCGTCGTCGTTGTCATCGTCGTCGTTGTCGTCGTTACTTGGTATCGTCTTCGTCGTCGTCCTCGTCGTTCCTCGTCGACGGCGTCGGCGTCTTCGCTCCTCGTCGTCCTCGTCGTTCCTCCTCGTCGTCGACGTCGTTCCTCGTTGACGGCGTCGTTCCTCGCAGTTGACGTCGTCGTCATCCGTCGTCGGCGTCGTGGTCGTCCGTTGTCCTCGTCCTCGTCGTTGTCCGTCGTCGTCGTCGTCGCCGTCGTCGTTGTCGTCGCCGACGTCGTCGTCGTCCTCGTCGTCGTTGTCGTAGTCGTTCCTCGTGGTCCTCGTCGTTCCTCACCGTCGTCGTCTTGCGTCGTCGTCGACGTTCGTCGTCGTCTTGCGTCGTCGTCGTCCTCGTCGTCCGTCGTCGTCGTCGTCGCTGTCGTCATCGTGACTCCTCGGTCCTCCTCGCTGTTGTCGTCGGTCCTCGTCGTCGTCGTCGTTCCTCGTCGTCGTCGTCGTCATTCCTCGTTGTCCTCGTCGTTCCTCGCCGTCGTCGTCGTCGTCGTCGTCGTCGTTCCTTGTCCGTCGTCGTATCCGTCGTCGGCTTTCCTCGGCGTCATCGGCGTCGTCGTCGTCGTCGTTGTTCCTCGTCGTCGTCGTCGTTGTTCCTCGTCGTCGTCGTCGTTGCCTTTCCTGGTCGTTCCTCGGCGTCGTCGGCGTTCCTCGTCGTCGTCGTCTTCGTAGTCCTCGTCGTCGACGTTCCTCGTCGTCGTCGTCATCGTTGTCGTCGTCCTCGTCGTCGTTGTTCCTCGTCGTCGTTCCTCGCCATCGACGTCGTCGTTCCTCGTCGTCGTCGTCCCTCGTCGTCATCGTCGTTCGTCGCCGTCGTCGTGGCCGTCGTCGTCGTCGTCTTCGTAGTCGTCGTTGTTGATGTCGTCCTTCCTCGTGGTCATCGTCGTCGTTGTTCTTCGTCTTCGTCGTCGTTCCTGCTCGTCCTCGTTGTTCTTCGCCGTCCTTGTCGTCATCGTCATCCGTCGTCGTCCTCGTCCTCATTCTCGTCCCCGTCCTCGTCCTTGTCGTCTTCGTTGTCCTCGCTGTTCCTCCTCGTCTTCGTGCCTCGTCTCCTCCGGGGGGCCCTCGATCTTACCACGGGTGCGGGAGGAGCGGGTCCGATATGTTTCCAGCGTCTGCCAGGGGGGCGGCCTGGGAGCGCGGCTGTTCCCTCCTCCCCTCCGCCTCCTCCACCTCTCCCCTCTCCCTCCGCCTCTCCCGCCCACTCCCATCCGCCTTTGCTCCGCCCCTTCCGCCTGCTCTCCCCTTATCCTTTCCCCTCCTCCTTGCGCTTCCCCCGCCTCTTCGGCCTCCTTCCCCTACCTTCTCCTCTCCCCTCCCTCTCTCCGCTCCTTCATCTGCCTGTTTCTCCCCTCTTCTTCCCGCCCCCCCACCAGGCCCACCCCTCCCCTGTTCGTCCCGATCTCTGCGACTGCGCACGCGGGAGGGCACGGGGAGCTGCGGTCCTGATTATGCCCCGATGTGTTTCGTGTGGGAGCAGGGAGGAAGGACGAGAGGGAGAATGGAAAAGGAGGGGGGAAGCAGGGGAGGGATCAGAGGAGGAAGAGGTACCGGTACCGATGACGCTACCCGCCGCTACCCTTGTCTCGTTTCTTCTTTTTGGGGGGCCTTTTGGCAGGCGCTTGTCTCCACTGGGAGAACGCACCCCGGGAGAGGTCTGGGGAGGCCCTTGTCCCCTCGGAAATTCTGGTCAGAACGCACCCTGGGAGAGGTCTGGGGACCAGCGGTGCATCGGTATCTTTTGGCTGCCCTGGGGGGAAGACGGCGGAGGAAAAGGACGAGCGTGGGTGGGGATGGGGCAGGCGGAGGAGGAGGAGGAGGAGGAGGAGGAGGAGACGGAGGAGGCGGAGGAGGCGGAGGATGGGGTGGTCTCTCTCTCTCTCTCTCCTCCTCCCTCTCCTCCTCCTCCTCCTCCTCCTCCTCCTCCTCCTCCTCCTCCTCCTCCTCCTCCTCCCCCTCCTGTCTGTCCACCTGGACGTAGAAAATATGTCCTTCTGCACGTCAAAATACGTGAATCGCCGGTGGCCCCTGGAGCGGTGCTCCAGGGGTCACCTGGCCCTAGTTTGATTGACCCCTCTCAGGGCCGACAGGCCCTGAGGGGAGGCTGCGATCGTGGATCGCTTCAGCCACCAGGAGCCAGGAACCAGGAGGCGCGACGGCCCAGAGAACGTAGAGCGCGAGGAGTCCTGGGTATTGGTGGCCCGGTAGAGTGAGTCAACTTTGCAGGAGTCGAAGCAACAAGGTGCGCCTTTTTGTCCCTCCCCAGGGGAACGCTCGTTACCCAGGCCAACCTCCCACCCTCCCCGGGTAACGCTGACGATCGTGCTGGGGGGGGTGGCCTGGACCCCTTCCCACATGCTGTGTTGCACACAGGCGGTTGATGCGCCGGTGCTGCGGATGCACCATGGCGGGTGCACGCCGCGGCCCCCGTTTCCGTTATCCTCCTGCCCGCCCCCCCCAGGTAATGACCGTTACCCAGGAGGGGAAAAAACCGTTACCAAAAATAGTGGCGTGTTCTTTTGGAGAGTTTGTGGGTTCCCCATCGCGCGGTTCTAGGGCCATGGTGCTCGCCGAAGGTCAAATTCGAGGACTGCACGCTCACCGACGTCCAGCTCGCCCAGGACGAGAACGACTGCAGGGACTGGACCTTCGAGATGTCGAGGTGCAAGGTCACCAGCTTCATGGAGGTCCCGAAGAGGAACATATACCCATACCACTACCGGTCCTTCGTCGTCACGGCTGGATTCGCCTCGTAATCCTGGTCAGGATGCGCTCCGCGAGAGGTCCACGGAGCAGCGGTACTCATGTCTTGTTGTCTCCCCAGAGGTGCCCGCGAGCAGTGTGGTCCTCTGCGACGTCTCCTTTGGCATGGGCTGCCGCCTGACTGGTGGCCGGGACGTTAAGCTGAAGTCCTGCATCTTGGTCGACAGACTCGGCGGGGGCAAGCGGGGTGGGCATAGCCCAGGTGATTTGGCATCGCCTGGACGTTTGCATCTTTTCGGCGAGGACCATCGAGGAGCACCTTGCGTCATCTTGCGAACAAAATGCACGCACGAAATCGAACAACGCACGGGGAAAAGACATCCGAGCGATGGCGAGAAACGGGGTGGGCATCATAGCCCAGGGGCGGGCACCCCGCGCATTTGCTGGGGAGCCTCGCCGAAGGCGGTGGGCGGTGGCGTTTGTCACCACCCACCAAACCACCCCAACCCAACCCGAAGGCTCAGATTTACCCTCGATTTCCAGTGGGGGGGGGGTCCGGGAACATCGAAAAACACACACACATGGAGCCCACACCCCCCCCAACCCGAAATTCTGGTCTTCGGGTTGGGTTGGGGTGGTCTGGTAGGTAGTCAGTTTGGGCAGTCGGAGTCCCGGGATAACCACTCGCAGTGCCCCCCCCCCTTGACCAGGGGCAACGCTAGGGGGGGATGCGTCGACCCCCAATCCCTCCACCCCCTCGCGCGGCGAAACAATCACGACGGCTGGTTGTTCGCTATTCTCGGCTTTCGGCACCTACCGGACCTCGGGACCGTCAAAGAACGACTCAGGATCGGTGGGGTGGCACTGGGGTGTGGAGAGGAGGGCCCTAAAGGGACCCTTTCGGGTCCCTTTGGGAGCCAGCTGGTGCCCAAAAGGGACCCGAAAGGGCCCATGTAGGGCCTCTAGGTCACCCCTCACTACCATTCGCCCGACAGGATTGAAATTCCCGTCCAGGGGAAGGGTGCGAGACCTCTGGGGGTCGACGCTTTGAACATGTCACGACGTCGGGGGTCTGGGATCGCCCGCCCATTGATGATCGCCGATGGGGGCCTAATAGCCCACCCCGCCCAGGAACGTGCGGTTTCGCTACCGGGGGCCTATGGGCGATCTATTGGCGATGTATCGCCGATTCCATGCTGATGTTTCCCACCCCCCTCGTGCCAGTGCCCCCCCCTGGTGAACTTGCCTGGCTAACCCTATGCTGGTTCGAATTGCACCCTGGGGATGGTAAGTTTCGGGATTTTCGGAGGATTTCATGTTTTCCTGGATGTATCGATGTTTGGATGTCTGAACGCAAGCTCAGCGAATCTACATCGTCACGAGATTGATATTATGGGGGGTTACTCGTGGTGTTATGCATGATATGAAGATCAGAGCGACGATGCGAACTTTGGGTATGATTATAAAGTTCGCCCGAAGTTGGTCCCCGTGCCCCTTGTGTGGCAATTTGAACCCACGTACACCTCGTGGACGATCAGATAGAGGAGGTGAAGGGGGGGTCACCTTTATTCTCCGCGGCATGCGGTTAGTGCTGGGTGGAGATCCAGCAGCTCGCTCTCATAGGGTCGAGCAGCTCACTGCACTCTGAGGCCTGTGGCGCCTCGGGAGCCTCCGATGCAGTCGAAACCGATAGACAATACAGATGGATCATCTTTCCCATGGTGCCCTTGTGTCCGTGCCTCTTGGCCCATCATCGACTACTATCAATGGCCCGCGGCGCTCAAAAAAGCTTCAGCGCTGGCGTACAAGGGGGACATACAGTAGGGGCCCTGAAGAAGGAACCCTTTTCGTTGGGGAGGGGCTCCGCGTTCCGTAAGCGTTTCGCAGCTTGCCTCAGGTCTTCCTTAGGTTTTCGATCGGAAATCGAAGTTCAACTCATGGAAAATAGGGGCCTCGTTCCTTATTTAGGGTTCCTTAGGTCAGCGCCCCGACTGTATCGTGGCGGCGCCTCCGGCGCCGGCCTTGGCGCAGGAGGCGCCGCCAGCGGGGTGCGCCAGAGACACCGCAAGGGGTGGGGCCCAGCGCTGATCCAAGAGACCCATGCGGACATTCGACGTTGTATGTTCGTGAGTTGTTCTTCCTCCGCCCATGGAGCTGCCAGCACGGGCCAGCATCCTGCTTCAACTTATGGAAAATAGGGGCCTCGTTCCTTATTTAGGGTTCTATAGGTCAACGCCCCGACTGTATCTCTGTTGCGCCTCGTTCCTGTCGAGGGGGCCTCCGAATGGCGTCCTGGCCGCCCCGGCTGCGGCCGCCGAGGCGTGCAGCTCCGAGGGGCTCGCGTCCTGGTTGCGCATGCTCTTATTGCCAAGTCTTGGCTGCAGGAGCCTCCGACGGAGTCTACCCCAGATCTCGTAATAAAGGGAGGGGGGTCTCATTTCGGGGGGGGTCTCTTCCAGGCTATCTTGGAGGGCCTGGGCGGGGTCTGGGGACGACGTTTTGGAGGGTTCTCCCACGGGGGGGGGTCTGAAATGGCTTGTCTTGGAGGGTCCAGACCCCCTCCCTTTTATTACGACATCTGGAGTACCCTTTACGTTGCATCTTCGGGGAACCTGGCCTGTCCCCAGAATTGGCGTCTCTTCTTGTACCCGACACGGGCTCGATGCGGACTCTACGCGGCTGTGGCGTGGATTCGACGCGGATTCGACACGGATTCGACGCGGATCCGACGAGTCCGACATGGATTCGACACGGATTCCACGCGGACAAGGCCGCGACGGGACAGACAAGGTCCCCCGAGGATGCAACATCATATCCTTGCAGGCGACTGTTCCCCCCAGATCCCAGACGTTTCGGCGAAACAGTGAGGCCTGGGGAAAGGGGTCGTCGTATCCCCGGCCGTGTCCGCCCCGGCTGCCGCCGCCGAGACGTACAGTTCAGCTGCAGCCCCGACCTCGCGGGCGACCCCGAGCGCTCGCCCTCGCCGGCGCCGGGCCCCGGAGGGCCCCCCCTGCCGGCGGTGCCGCCCCTGCCCGGCGTGCCGCCCCCCGGGTCCAGGTGCAAGATCGAGGTCGGGCTCGGGCGCGAAATCGGGGGAGAAAAAGATACGGATACGTGTTGTCCCCCGTCGTTTTCGGCCTTTCCTGGTCCTCCTGGGGAATCCTCGTTGTCACCGCTGGATTCGCCTCGAAATTCTGGTCAGAACGCACCCCAAGAGAGGTCCGGGGACAACACGTATCCGTATCTTTCCGCCCCCCAACGAAAGGTCGGCGGCGAGCGAGGGGGGCAGGCGAGGAGTACAGAGGGCCTTCCCAGGCCCCCCTCGCGACAGCGGGAGGGTCGGGGCGGGGGGCTCTTCGCTGTGTTCGGCCTCCGAGGGCCCCGTGCCCGGCCTCTAGGGGCCGTCGGAGCAGGACTCGGGGTGACAAGCCCGTCCCGGGGAAGGGTGCCGGGCCTCTGGGGGTCGACGCTGTGGCAAAAAACACGACGTCGGGGGTCTGGGTTATCAGATGAGGAGGAGGGTATGAGGACGAGGAGGAGTAGGAGGGGAAGTGAGGAAATGGGGTCTGGGTTATGAGTAAGTCTGGGTATGAGGAGGAGGAGGAGAAGAAGAAGAGGAAGAGGAAGAAGGAGTAGGAGGCGTCCAAGTAATAACAAGAACCCCGTCTTAGGATATGGGGAACAACACGACGTCGGGGGTCTGGGTTATCAGGCGGCGGGGTTTCTCAGAGGCCCTCCAGGCCTGCCGAGCAGTGCGCCGCGCCTTCCGGGAGGGCCCCTGGGCAACCTCTTCGAGGGCCCGAGGCCTACCGGGCCTTCTGGGGAGGGCCTTCTCCTCCTCGCTGGCCCCCCGGGCGCGCCGTTGGCAAAGGGGGCCTCAAACATGTGCGCAGATCGGGGTCGTTTTCGTATCCATTGTGTTGCCGATCGGCGCAGACCCTCGCACCCCCCTCCATCCCCCCCCCATGGAGTAGGTCTTGGCTGTTTTTTGGCGCCTGATTCGAGCAGGTGGAGTCTCCCCCACGGGGCGCACCGCTGCAAACAGACGCATTTGCAGAGGTCCAGAGCCAGATCCCCCCCCCTCCCCCCCTCCCTTTCGCCAAATGGCGAAACGCCGAATAAGGAAACGCTCGCATGGTTCCTGCAATCGTTGGTGCGGGATACGCACGTCGTACGATGTCCTCACGCGGCTGCCGCGCGCCACGCGCCACAGGATAGACTGCTGCACATGTTTCTGCGACCCGCTAACGAAGCACCTCCTTTGCCCGGAACCAACGAGGTCTCCGAATGCGTGGTGGCAGCGCCCATCGGAGGAGCAACATCTGCACGGGCGTAGATCGAAGAAGAAACAGATCGGACCAGCTTTCGTCGCTCCGCGCGGGTTCCTTGTCTCGGCGCTGCGCCCGTCCGGCGGCGCCTCCGGCGTCGCCGCGGGCGCGCTCCGCGCGCCACAGAGGGGGGTTTCCGCGCAGATCCAAGAAAAATCCGCGCGGACCGTCGAAAGTGTACGTTTGAGATGTTTGCTCTTCCTGATGATCTTGCGGAGGTCCGCGCGGATTTCTTGGATCCGGGGCCCTGCAGAAGGAACCCTACAGTCGGGGCCCTGAAGAAGGAACCCTTTTCGTTGGGGAGGGGCTCCGCGTTTCGTAAGTGTTTCACAGCTTGCCTCAGGCTTTCCTTATGTTTTCGACAGGAAATCGAAGGTTCACTTATGGAAAAAAGGGGCCTCGTTCCTTATTTCGGGTTCCTTAGGTCAGCGCCCCGACTGTATCGTGGCGGCGCCTCCGGCGCCGGCCTTGGCGCAGGAGGCGCCGCCAGCGGGGTGCGCCAGAGACCCCGCTGCGGGGTGGGGTCCAGCGCTGATCCAAGAGACCCATGCGGACATTCGACGTTGTATGTTCGTGAGTTGTTCTTCCTCCGCCCATGGAGCTGCCAGCACGGGCCAGCATCCTGCTGGACGACGTCATTTTCAACGACGGCGCCTGGTTTAGTTGCGAGTCCGCCCGCATCACGCGCTGGCAACAGGTGCGCATCGACGGCCCCGTGAAGCTGGAAGACGTCACCTTCAACGACAGGGTCGAGGGGGCGTGCTTTAGCCCTGGTTCGGTGTTCGATAACTGCAACTTCGAGTTCGGCATGGGCAATGTCGCCGCTGTAGAGTGCACGTTCACGAATTGCAAGATGGACAGCGCCATGAAGAATTACCACATGGCACACTGCAACTTCGTCGGCAGTTACTTCGAGAACTGCGCCTTCCTGCCGAATTACCCGAACCGTGGCGCCACGCTCTACGAGTCCGAGGAGGCGAGCAACTTCAGCTTCGCGAGGTTCAAGCAGTGCACGCTCTTTGGGCGCACCGCCGCCTTCAAGGTATCTGTTTGTTTATTGATTTATTCGCCGATCGGCGCGGGCCCCCAGCCCCGCCACTCAACCCCCCATAGACCTGACCTTGGCTGCTTTGGGTGGCTGCTCTTGACGCAAGGTCGGGACCCCTCCCCCCCCGTCTGCTTGCGCCACTGGTGGAAGCAGTTCCCTCGAGCACCGGCCCAGACCCAGACCCCCTTCCCCCCCCACCCACCCTTCGGCCAAGCGTCGAATCCAAGACTAAAGAGCGCGCCTCCAAGTTCGGGGACCAGAAGCTCTCTGCGGCCTGGAACCTCCACCAGGCACAGCTGGTCTGAGGCCTCCCTCGCCGCCACCCGTCGATGCTCGCCCGCGGCCGTCGGCCGTGCGGGGACTTCGCGGGAGTCGCGGCGGCGACTGAGCGCCGGACCGCGGCGGGCCACCACATCGCCATCGAGTGGTCGTCCCGCTTTTGCTGCAAGGAGGAGGAGGAGGGAGGAAGGAAGATAGGCACGTGAGTTCTCGAAGCCGTCTCGCCACTCGTGTTTTCGTGTTGCTGGGCGGGGGGAGGCTCCGGAACCTTAGAGCCTGCTTTGAATTTGTCGGCAGTGTTCCAGACGTGTTTGGACGGCATGGGAGGGGGTGAGGACGAGCAGGAAGGAGGAGGAGGAGGAGGAGGAGGAGGAGGAGGAGGAGGAGGAGGAGGATGTGGAGAGGGGGCTGAACTACATTTCGGGCTAGATTGTTCCAGGCGGTCCCCAGGGGTTGCCCGTGGAGCCGGGCGACTCCCCGGCGCGGGGGACCACCCGCCCCCTGGGCCTCGGGGTGCCGCGCCTTGGGGAGCCGGGGACGCCGCTGCCCCAGGGGGTACCCTTGTCGGGGGAGCACGGCGTGCTCGTCCGCTGGGGGCATTGGGTGGGCGCGTCCGACCCAGCCGCTCCCCCCGGGCTCCCCCAGCCGACACGGCCCTGCGCGGCCCGGGCGCCGCGGGGCGCCCTCCCACAGGCCCGCCCGCCCCGCGGGCCAGCTCAGGTCCCCCCCCCCCGCCGCGGGCGGTCGAGGAAACCCGCGCTGGAACGCCGCACGCCTCGGCGGCGGCGCGGCGCCGAACCAAGAATTTTTTGGGGGGGGGGCACCTCCGCGCGAAAAGTCACGCGCGATCCGACAAGCCGCGCGGCACCTTCGCTCCCAGGTCGCCCCCAGCCCTCCCCGGTGGCAGCGTCCCAGGAGCGGCCCAGGCTGGGACGTCGGCGGCGGGCGCGCCGGGGCATGGGGCCAGGAAGGAGGGAGTGGAGGAGGGGGAGGGGGAGGGGAGGAGGGGGAGGATGAGGCGCACGATGAGGATTAGGAATTAAACAAACAGTGCGAACGGGTGTGGGGAAAATAAACGAGGAGGAGAAGAGGGAAGGAACAGAGGAGGAGGAGGAGGAGGAGGAGGAGGAGTTTGATTCGGGTTTCTGGGTGGTTTTGGGTAGTTCTGCACTGTTCTCGGCTCGAGCTCTAGACGGGTTCCCATCCTCGTCCTGCTTTTTGTTCTTCCCTCCCTTGGCCCCTTCTCCTGCACGGGCTCCTGCCCGTGATGATGTTGCTGGCCGTCTTGCTCCTCCGCTTCCTCCTGCCAGTCGTCACCTTGTTCCTCTTTCTTCTGCTCCTTCCTCCTCGTCTTGCCACCGAGGGCTCCCCTCGCTGGGCCTTGTAAGGCCCCATGCAATCCCACGCGGAGTCCGTACGTACAGCGTCTGAAGGATGGGCAATGGCCCAAGGATTTGCCGGCCAGCAGAGGGAAGCCCTCGTAGTTTGGTTTGGCGTTGTCGGGTCACGCATTCGTTTTTTTACATCGCATTGCGATGGGGTCCTTTCCGTCAAGTCCGCCGCACCTCTCCATCTTCGTCATCGTCGTCTTGCTCCAGCTTTTCCTTCACCTCCTCCCTAAAGTTCTCGTCGTTTCTCTCTTCGCGTCCCTCCCAGATAGTGCTCTTGCTCCTGGTGCTGCTGGGCCTCCCCCTTTCCTCCTGCACCCCCTGCTCGTGTTCATCGCGTGGCGCCCTAGGGTTATTCCTGTTAGTCCCATTCGAGTTTCCCTTCGCTTTCCCCCCTCTCCCCCTTCCGCGTCCTCAGGGCCCGGCTGGAGCGCCGACCGCTGCGTGCCCGAAGGCGTTACGCGGGCCCCGGTGGCCGCGAAGAGTTTCCGTGACGGTCGTGCCAAGGTTGTAGGTGAAACATTGGATCGAAGTTCCAGCATATTCCAGATTTCGTAATAAAGGGAGGGGGGTCTCATTTCGGGGGGGGTCTCTTCCAGGCTATCTTGGAGGGCCTGGGGGGGTCTGGGGACGATGTTTTGGAGGGTTCTCCCACGGGGGGGGTCTGAAATTTTGTCTTGGAGGGTCCAGACCCCCTCCCTTTTATTACGAAATCTGGAGTAGACATAAATTCCTTTGTCCTCTCGTTCATCCCACTCACGCGCTTGCTTTGTGCTGCGGGATGGCTGCTTGGCGCTGTTTGCAGCGCAAGTCCTTGGCACCTGCCAGTCCGCCGGAGTCCCGGGACGGACATCAGATGAACCAGAATTCGGCCACGCGCAGAGGGGGGCAGGGGGAGGAGGGAAGGAGGCTGCTCCTGAGACGGTGCGGGCCTCATCTGTAGATGTAAGGCCAGCTCCTTCTGAGAAGCAGCCCACTTCAAGAAGCCTCCCCCCCTCTCCCTACCCCACTCTCTGCGCGCCGCCAAAGAACACTGCGCTCCTCGGACGGGGCTAGGACGAGGATAAATCCGTTCCAGAGCGTTCCAGAACGCTCTCAGAGCGTTCCAGAACGCTCTGCGAAGGCTGCGGCGCCAGAGACATCCTCCAGAGCTGCCGGATCTCAGAGATTCCCGACTTCCCCTCGTCAGATTCTATCCTCGTCCTGGCTTCGTCTTAGCTCCGCCCTGGCCACCGCCAGTCCACTGCTCGAACGACACCGGCTTACTAAGCCCGCGGCCCTTCCCTTTTGTGCAGATGAGCGTTGGGGTGCGTGTCCCTCGCTTCCCCTGGAGAGTCCCCGGAGGAGCGCCTCGAGGTCCAGAGGTAATTAGCTGTCCAGAGGCCGAGCATACGGGGGTAGTGGGATGGGAGGAGACTTCTTAGCAGCACCCTGCTTCTTGGAAGGCGCGGTCCAGCGCCTTCTAAGAAGCAGCCTCCTTCTGAGAAGCCTTCGCCCCCTCCCCCTACCCCTTTGTGCGCGACGCCAATGTCAGCACATCGATCTCCCTGAACTGCCCTTCCTGGCGTGCGAAGCGCGCCAGGCATGCGAGCCCTGTGGCGATCCAAGAACTCCGCGCGGAACTCCGAAAGTCCATGCTCATGCCGTTTTCTGTTTATCGGCTGCAGCCCCTTAACCTTGCCTTCTTAGAGGTCCACCCCCCATTCAGACCAGGCCCATTTGCTCGCTGCCCTGGCTCTGAAGTAGGCAGCCGATCTGGCGGAGCACCGGCAGTCCCCTTCGAGGGAGCATGATGCCTGAGTCCGCGCGTGCATATGGCCAGTGGAGGGACTTCCATGTGCATCCATACCCCAGGACCTGCAGGGCAAGCGTCTCAGAGAAGGAGTCGGTGCTGGCCTGCGTTTTGGAATCTTGTTGCAAAGAAATATAAAGAATCCTCCTGCGCTGGACAGGTCGGGGGAAGGACGGCAACGTCTGATCCGGCGGAGCCACCAGCGGGTGACCTGGTGACGCTGACTGCGGAGGAGGAGAAGGAAGAAGACGAGGAGGAGAAGGAGGAGGAGGAGGAGGGTCCCCTCCGCTTCCCGACTCTCCCCCGACTGGTCTCCTCGCCTTCCCGCGCGGAGGGGGGGTAGGGTTGACTGGGCAAAGGCGCCCGCCCCTGCACTGAGCCTCTTCCTGGGCCCGTGTCGATCCAGCCGATCCAATTCGAATCGCGGCCGGCCCGATCCGATGCGATTCCGAGATGGCGGCCCGATGCTTGCGCGGCGCTGTTGTGCATCCTAGCGCGGCCGATTTGGGTTCGGTTTCGGCCCCCGTGTTGATACAGTCGGGGCGCTGAAGAAGGAACCCCTTTCGCTGGGGAGGGGCTCGGTGTTCCTTGATTGTTTCAAGGTTTGCCACGGGTTTTCCTGGGTTTTCCATAGGAAATCGAGGTTGAACTTATGGGAAAAAGGGGCCTCGTTCCTCATTTAGGGTTCCTTAGGTCAACGCCTCGACTGTACGGAGCGATCCGGCGAACGTTCCGATGCGTCGGCGCGTGCACGCGGGGCGCGCAGTGGCCGCTGCCTCGGGCGGCGCCGGCGCCCTGGGGACCTCGCCGCTGGCGGCGTCGCACCTGCAGGCGGCTGCGGGCGCGGCGTCCTCGAGGGGTCTTCGGGGTCGGGAGCGGCGAGCAGACGGTCATCGAGGAGAAAACAACCTTAACTCTAATAGCACAGTGGAGACGTAGCCTCGCTTAGTTCCCCGTGCTTGCGTCAGGGATCATCAACCTGGGCGGTTTGGTTGGATGCATCTGCTGAGAAGACCCCCCACCCTAAAATTGTGGAGTCTTAACTGGGTTCCTCTCCCAGTTGGTTAGGGGTCCTTTCATTGCCAATCATGCGGTGATAACGTCGAAATGAGACATTTGCTATATCCCCTGGCGATGATGGGCGTGACCAGGGGAGGGGGGGAAGCGGGTAGGGGGCCAGTAACGGCTCGATTCGCGCTGGCGCTATTTGGGAACGGCTGATTCCCATTCGGCGCCGGCACGAATCGTGACGGGACCAGGGGTCGACGAATAATTACAAGGGTAGTTACGCCGGGGTGTAGTTCGCGATCTGCGTCGTTGGGGCTTGGAGGTCACCACACCACGCTGCCCTCATCGGCCCTCCTCGGGGCGCGGCGGAGATCTCTGTCGAGATCCTCGCCCGCCTCCCAGGGTGCGGGTTGCAAGCCACACCCTTTGCAGACCACACCATTCGGAGTCGCCGAAGGGGGAGGAGGCGGAAGGTGCGTGGCCAGGAACGGGTGTTCTCGTGAAGAATACATACATGGGCTCAGCAGGGAACAGTTCGGGGTCGGAAGGGATCTGTTGTTCGGTCCTTGCATGGTTGTTCCTCTATAGCGCTCTTCGTGCACCCCGACCCTTATGGGGCCAGGATGGGGCTTCATGCCTTGTTCAGCATTCCTTTCCGCAGTATAGCCTGACTGTGCCCGGGCCTGCCCTCGTCGCGAGAGGTTCTTGGTCGTTTTTGCCGCACCCGAGGGCCCTCACCGGGGGGGGAAGGGGGTCCATACCTCTGACCTCTACGGGTCCACGCTTGGAAGAAAAAGAGCATGGCGTCGGAGATTTTGAGATCCTTGTACAGACGGAC